AGTTAGCTAAAGCTGCTATAGCAGCAACTGACTCCAACTACAGATTAAAGATCTCACTCTGCAGCCCGACCAAGGTAGTCAAGCTAGCCTGAGCCTTGGACAGCCTGATCCTGAGTATCTGTTGAATTTTTTAGTCTCTATTTGGTTCTCCTGTAGTCTGGTAGCTTTGAACAACAATTGCTAGAATCATTCAGGATTTTCTAGGATCTTATTTTTCACTCTGTCCCATGGAAAGTTTTTATTGGTATGCTAAACCTTTCACCTCAGTAGCTAATACATACAATCCCACTCAACCTGCTGAGACACTTTCAGGAACTCAGCCATCACTTGGCCCAGCTTCTAAGGCTGGATGCAAATCGTTGAGTGAGCACATGTTATCAGAGACCACACAGAGCACAAATATTTACAACTGTGATTAAACAGAACCAAGATTAACATACCAGGTCTAATCTTTCTGTGATTCAGAGACAAAGTGAAAAATATACAGTAGGCAACATGATTACTTTTTAGCCACTTAAATTCAATGGTACTTCCATGGGTTAATGAGGATAGCATGGACATTTCACGCTACAGCTACAACGATACACTCCTAAGGACTTGCATACCACTTGTTTCTGTGTCCCTTCAAGAACTAAAATGACAAAAATGGAATAAATGCTCAGCTTCTTATTTTGCTAAACTACAGGACTGCTAAATATTTATAAGACATAATGAAATCCTGTTATTAAGCTAATAGTTTCCCTACTGAATAGATTTCTCCAGTGGCTGTCAAAAATCTTCACATTAACTGTTGCCAAGTGTGAGCTTAACAGCCCATCTATATCTGGGAAAAGAAGATGAAAGTTGGCCACATGATGTTGAGTAAACAAACAGTCCCTTTGCCTCTGAGAAATACTTTCCGCTATACCAGTGAGGTCAGAGGATAACTCAGTATCACTAAATGGTCACTATTTTCCAGACTATCCACAAAAGACCCAGCCTTTGAGAACTTGGCTTTATTCTTACTGCTTATGAAAGATTTCCAAGGCCACCAGTATGTTTATCATCAGTACACAACAGTCAGAATGAATTCAAGCCTCTTTGGTTGGCATAACCAACACCAGCACTGCGGTGGAACTGCAGGGCATCTCTTGCAGATACCTGATAACAAGAAACTGAAAGACCTTGGGCTGTTTAAATCTGACAAGACACAGGGAAAATTGCCAGAAAAATTCAGTCTGCATTTAAATAATACAGGTTTAAGATCTGTTATAGCACAGCTACAAACTTGATCTTGTAATACACTAGTTACAAGTTTCTCCCTCTATGAGGATACACAAACCCTGAAGGTTTCCAGTCATATGTGTGGCCCTACCCAAAAGTTTCACAGATTCTCTGAGAAGCAGCGTGGGGGGAAACGTCTAGGAGAAGGTAACAAGGGCAAGCATGAGAATAGAAAAGCCTCTAGCTGAGAAGCACAGATAGCAGAGAGATCAGGGACTTCAAGGAACTACACACCTCAAACTCTCAGACAAATACCTGTGTCTGTCTGTCACTGTGTCATCTTGTGACTGTCTCCTGCTGAAAAGTCCCTATGGAAGAGCTCAGAGATGGCAGCACTTCTCCAGAAAGTTCCCTCTGCTCTAGACCTGTGGGCTAGTAGCTCCCATGCCCAGAACTGCTCATCTCCTAGCTTCAGCCCAGCTGTAGCTACATTCTCACAGCTATACCTACCGTCCATCAAACAGCTTCCCAGCAACATCCCCAATTTTAGGCAATGTCTTCAGGTTACAAATAAACAGATACCAGACTCAACGGAGAGATGGGGAGGGAGAGGATAGGCAAGATAGCCTAAAGAAAAACATGCTGGTCCACTGCTTTAACCCAAAGCTTGTTATCCTACCACTGCTCTTTCCAGAACATTTTGGGCCCTTCCTTCTCATCCCTTTCCTGGGTCAAATGTTCTCTCAACATCTTCAGAAGCTACCAAAAAGCAGGAAAACATTCCCATATCTACATTAGGAAGTGGCTTGTTTTCTGCTCTGCTCTTTCACTCTAGCTCAGCCTATTCAAACACAGCAGTAAACCAGGCAGTAAGGAACAGACACTTATTGCACGGTACAAATGAAGACATGGGCATAACCAGAAACCTAAAATGGGGAGACACTTTATATACATCAGTACTACCTGCCAAAGCGTGTGGTGCAGCCAAGACAGTCCTTCCAAAGTATTCAAACATTCCCAATGTTTGAACAGGACAGTTACCTTTGCTAACCTCAGGTGTGCGTGAGTGTGTGCACACGTGTGCTGGTGGGGGTATTCAAACTCTATACTTCTCTGGAGGAGGCTCAAGACTTGTTCAGTGAAGACTGAATGTAGAGATTAGCACCTCAGCTGCTCTTCATTTCACAGATGGTAGAGCCATCTACTGGCTCCTTACAGTTTTATCAAGACTCTGCCCTGGACAGAAGAGGTGACAGGAAGGCACTCTGCAAAACCTGATCAGCAACCAAGAGCACCACCGTATGCCTGATCCCAACTGCTGGGATATCCAAATGACAGGTTTGAGCCTGCCTCATTTCTCCCAGCGTGACACAAAGGCAGTGAGAACAAGTCTCAGTACTCTAGTGCCAGTGACTGGTCAGAGCAAGCTAACAAGCACAGCAGATGCAGCATTAAAATTAAGCTTTTCTCCCAGCACTCAGGTACATTCTAGCTGGGAACAGGCAGCCTCACCAAAAATAGTAAGTTTGTGCCCAGCTAAGCTCTTGTCCTCAGGTAATGGGTAAGTGCATGACAGAAGTCTCATAGCTGTGCATGGCACCTTTTGGGCTGGGATGATGATAGCCACCCTTTCTTACGTGAAGAACTGGGGAGGGTTCCTAAATACCCTATCCCCACCCCTCCGGTCTCTGCAGCATTCCCTGTACAAGGTGACCAGGTGCAGACTTGGGGAACGAGAATTTTATCCATATTTTCAACATGCAAGTATATAGTACCACTGTGTATTGCACAGTACCTTCATATCCAGTGTCTATTATGACTAAAGCATACACTAGGATATAATACAGGTAGTATAAGTAAGATAATACAAGTAGTTGCAGCTTTAGTTAGGAACTTTAAAATTAAATGGACTCATATTTTAATTTTATATTTAATTTAAATGACCTACAGCTCTGTCAAAAGCAACAGGTATCACAACAAAGCTGTGCAAGAATCAAAGAGGTCATTCTGCTGCACTACTGCTGCCTCAAGGACATTCCCAATCCTAAAACTGATCCAACAACTTAAGAGTATTGCTTCAGTAACTTGCAGTTTTCTTTCCAGCCATGTCCTACCACAGGAAAGACATGCACACACTCATCACCCCCAAAATGCTTCACATGAAGCCCACAAGCAGCAACTAATAGAAATGACTGTGATAGAAGCAGCATTACAATGCTTCCTCTGTTCATCAGTTTTCTCCCCCATTAGCATGTTTTTGGTGGTAGAAAAAGGGTTCTGCTGCATTTCATTTGTTTTGATATATTTATACAGAAATTCTTGAGGTCTGGGTTTAGGTCATAGTATGAAATTCACTTGTACCTACCTCAGGAATATTGTGTGAATTGTAGATTATTCAGGTTTCGTGCCCCATTTCTAGACAGCACATAAACAGCTACAGCACTATCAACTGGTCAGTCTATATTTACTCCCCCTATTCACGCTGTGAAATTCATGTATTTTTTAACTCTCTCAGGTCCCAGCTGGGAACTATCATGAAATTTGTATCAGCTGCAACTCAGAATTTACTTCTATGACAGTGGCACTTAGGGATTTCAGCTAATGTCAGAGATGCACAGACAACTTGACAATGATGGGTTTCCATCTGGGATTTCCAAGGAGTAAAGCTGCAGCTTTTTTAATTCAGCCAGGGACCTGATCCTAAGTCTTGGGGCAATACCAGATGGTTGCGACGGCAAGTGATCAGAGCCCTCAGGTGCTGAGAGAGCAGAGGCAGGGTGCCTGACACCCTGATAATAAGTAATTTTTTTTTTTTTTAATTTCCAGATCAAACCTCATGACTGTGCATGAATTGTACAAAGTGTCAGAAAGCAAACCAGTTTTGCTTGACAAAATATTATGACCATTCAACTCTGATGTAACTAGTACAATGTTATGGTCCCTTAATTAGGTAATTCCAGCACTGCTTAATCAATGGTACAAAGAGACTTCCTGAGGCAGAAATGGCAGCTTGGCACCCAACTGTGGTTGGCTTTTCCTGGCTAGATTCCTAACTGCCAAACAACTCTTCTCCTGTCTGCTTTTCTTATCCTACCTCAAAGTGCTACAATAGAGATATTTGCAGCATTTGGGCAGGCGCTGTCAGATCGAGAATTAAAAAACCTGGCAAAGATACATCTCACTGTTTAATAATCTGTGCAATTTACATTTTAATTCTGAGAAAGTGTCAGTCATTGGAAATGAAGCAGACAATACTTCACGCACATTCCTCAGGAAAATACAGCATACTTGTTCTTTAAGATAACTTACTTAAAGTACAGGAAGATTCTACCTCTAGAGGCTCATTTAGTTGCTCTAGTGCCTAATTAGCAACTTGAGAGGAACCTCATCATACCCACCATAGTGATCTCTAGCAAATACAAGGCAGAGTTTGTTTTGTCTGCAGAAACCTAATTCAAGATTGTGATATATATGACATCATCCTAGGTGAGACTGAGTTCTCCTGAGACAACACAAGGTTTTTACATCAAGCACACTATCATTGCCATTAGAGATCTTTTCTTCACTAAAAAGCTGATCACTGCCTTTAAACAGCACCCTGGTTATTTGCTCAGGGAGAAAACAAACCTGAATATGAAAAGCACATGAAAGAATTAACTCCAAAGCAGATTTCTGCTCAGACATTGATGCAGCATTCAACATAAAAGGTTAGAATGCTTATCACATAGTTTCCATACTCAATAAACCAGAGCTTAAATCTTTCATTATTCATGTCCAACTAAGACTAGTGTACACACCAGGAGAGGAGATGCACCGTTTCCAGCCCACGCAGTCTAAGCCTGATGGAGTGCTCTGGGAAAATGGATGCAGCTTCAGTGGTAGGATGTCAAAGGCAATAGCAGACGTGATGGATGTATTTGCTACAGCCTGCAACAACAGAGGGAAAACAAAGACAAACATTAAATTTAAATGCCCTGCAGGACAAAATATAGCACTCATCATGGAGCACCTCTTTCCACCTCTGATGCCTGCTCGTGTAAGTAGCACATTAGTAGACACATGTGGATGATTATGGCTAGAGAGGTTAGAAAAAAGTGAGAAGATGGGGAAAACTGCAAAGTAGTAAGAACAGAAGAAGTGGATAACCAGGTACTGGACTCATACTTCACATCCTACCACACATACCTACATTTGCAGAAAGTTTCACTCCTTCCTATGAAGTGTACCTAGTGGGAGGGGCAAGATACTGCAAGAATATAGATCATTCGACAATGAACAACAAAGACTGTAGTCAAAGTCACTGAAACTTGTAGCACTTAATGCAGATATGCTTTTATTTCTTCTTCCTTCTCTCACTTTCCTCCCCCATACCTCCTATGGCTGGCACACAGGGAAAATATCAGTGACTGCAGGCAACTGGGAGATCAGCTGGTCAGTAAGCATTGGTCCCATGGACATCACCATTTTTCATCTCTATATTGCTACTGCTCCTTCTTTTTGCTGCTGTGACATTCAGTTACAACATATCCATCCTTCACTGAATCAAGAGTTTAGTACATTGAGGCCCAGTAGTTTATCTAGGATCTTTCCTCTTTCCTATCAGGCCACGCTATGTCCCATCAGCATCAAATCTGCTGACTAGCCTTGATGCTGAAGGCTCTTCTAAAGAAGATGGCAGTTAATCAAAACATCCTTCCAAAACCAAAGAGCAAACTAAGCCCACTGAATAGCCACACACTGCTCAAGCAGCTGGGAGTGCCACTGTTCTGTGCTTGTTTGCTTTATCCTTCCTGGGCTTACTTTCCTAAAACAAAGAGAACACAGCCAATACTTTGGCACAAATCACCATCTCCTGAGGGATAGCATGAACCCTGTTCAAATTAACCTGAGCAGTGCCTTTTTTTTCTAGAAAAGTCATAGCAAAGCCCCAGTGGAAGCACATGCTCTTCCAGTGACAATGAAATCAAGCAAATCAGGCAACTTACTGGGCTACAGCTCTGAAAATGCCAAGGGCAAAGTCTAGGTTATTTACATGAAAAGTGATAGAAAGCATTATTGTTCTGTTTAAGACTAGGAAGCAGAACACTGCCTTAGGGCTGTTAAAATAAAAACTGAAGGCTTCATACTTATTAATCCCTAGGACATCAGAGCAAATTTCAGGTACAGGCACCATTTGATTTCTATAGCATGGGAGCCGGGCCTGCACAGCCCAAAGTCAGGAGAAGCAGCATCTTCAGAGATGTTAGTAACATGTGGGCAACCTACAAGGGAGAGTAGGGGAAATGAGGGACAAGAGCATAATAAAGATCCTCTTTTCTACATTTTCTGCTATAGGCTAAGGGGGGTTATTTCTATGCTCTTACGCACAGCAGTTCAGTCCCTGGGAGAGGCATCTATCCCCATTGTGTGTCTGGGCCTTGTAAGGTGCACAATGAGCAGACTTATCTCATTCAATCCCCTCTCCAAAGTGTGTTCATTACCCTCTTGATGTGTATCTGAGGTGCCCACAGTGCTCATCATCATGGTAGCACACATCAAAACTTAATTTTCTCTTATTTCAGATGTGGTAAAATCAGATTTCCAGGAGTCATATTCAGGGCAATAAGCTAAAGATCTATTTTTCACTGCTTCTCATTTCTCTTTCAAAATAAAAGAGAGAGCTTTTTCTGCACTATACCCCCTCTGGGTATAGTCCCCTGATGGGCCTTTTAGGAATCTCTCTAATTTAGCAGTACAGAAGCTGCTCTAACAAATGCATGTAGAAGCTGTGTCTGTACTTCTATTGCTGTACACAGGAGAGTCATCAAGCTTAATCATCAGGTTTTAACTTTTTGTCAAAATAGGAAAGAACAGGTTAGAAGAGACATCACTAAAATAATGTTTGCAAAAATAATTCACAAAACAAAGCACATTGCCATTACAGCATTACATGTATCAATGATTTGGGGCATTGACTCTGCTCTGGCTATCGAATTTATACTGCATTAAAAATAAGAGGACCCCAGGTGACACCATGAAACCCATCACCATGAGAAGGACAAAGCCTATGACCAAGCAAAAGAAAATAGATCCATCCACAGCCATGCTAGCTTCTCTTCCACTTCAGGGTGTGCTACCTTCAAAGGCTTGCTATGACCAGTCAAATGTCAACACTTTAAGGGACAAGATCAGAAGCAGCTCAGCTTGTTACTGGTCGCATTTCATTATAAGGGACAGCTGGGTCAAGCTTTGAGTTTGACTCTGGGAATTTACACAGACTGTTCCCAATTAAAGCAGATGAGCAGCTTACTGGACTTAAGCAAAACAAAGACCAGAATTGTTTAGAACTGGTATTTCAAATGTTGTGGGGTTTTTTGTTTGTTTGTTTTTTATTTTTTTTTTAGTTTAAATGTAGTTTATTGACTGTCCAGCTCCCTCTGAATCCCAACTACCAGCTTTCAGAATAACATCTTATTACCACTATACTCATTTGTGTATGTTGATCTGAATGATAGAGTAGTATCAGAAATTAGCACTTGAAAAATCAAGCATTCCTCCCTCATCTGACCTATTGTTCCCCTAATATTGCAGCATTACCTCACCTTGTACGCTGACCTGATCTTGACTTAACACAGTATGACTAGTCATAACTGAAGCCACACATCCCAAGGCAGCCATGTGTCAGAAAACATCAGACTTGCAGTTTCAGGTCTCCAAAGCCCCATACAATTGCCTTGTTCCAGTCACAAAACCACAACAGACAATTAACATCTTACAAAGCTTCTTCTGTGATAGTTTCTTTCTCCTTATAAAAAGGGATTTAGCATCCTTCTAAAACTGCCCTCAAACACTGCAGCTTGTGACAGCACTCCCACCACACTTGGGAGTATAAGCCAGCATTACTACAGGAACAGAGTATCACAAAGACAGAATAAAACAGTAAGAACTACATGAGAACTACTGTAAATAAAAAATACAGGCCAAGAAATGCAGTTATATCAGCATACAGGAAGTAGCCCTCGAATCCCAACAGTTCTCTCAGTAAAACTTAACATTGTGCTCTCTCATCCTGCCTACAAAAATAAAGTGTTAATAAGCTCATAACACACAGAAACAGTAAAAAACAAACCTACCTACTTGCTACTAAATATCTTCTACTCACCTCTACCACCCAAAGAAGAATAAACCAGAAAACTAACTCAAGCCTCACAGGCAGGAGATGTTAAGTAAGGGTACCTCAGCTGCAAATCATCACACAGCTGATCACAATTTAGAGTTAAGTTTGCACCAGAAAATAATGGGGGAAATGCTTAAAGGAGAAGCTGTTTTCTGGCAGCATCAAAATGTGCAGTCAATCAGCAAAACAGACAGCATTCAACCTGTGTAAGCTGATGGCTCTAGGGGAAGCTACTGAGGCACGTGGTTGCTCCTCTCAGAAGCACTAATGGTCTCAGTGCTGGCCAACATACCCTGCAGCATGGGCTAGATTTTCATCTCTAGTCGTGCTTGTCAAGGAATTGTAAGAAATATTTTTAGCGTGTTTTACTGGCTTCTGTTATCACTGAGCCTATGTAAGCCAAGGATTCATTTTCCCTAGCTTGTTTCATGCCTGTACAGCACTAAGCACTCAGAACTCTGCACAAGGCAGAAAAGTAACACGATTAATTTCTTTGCATTTTTTTTAAATCTTAACACACGCATGCCTCAGGAGCATTACTTGCTGTCTTCAACACATAGGTAGTAGGGGGCTGAGCCAGCAAATCCTCCTCGCTGAACTGAGAGTAGGCAGCATGTCACAGAGTCATACCCAGTACTCACCCGAGCATCAACTGGCAATATTTTATTTTGAAGAGACCTATAAATACAAAATAGCACAGACTTTTAGCCCCTTTTCTTGAGGAGGGGAGAACAGTGCACAGTTTTTCAGAAACCCTGTTTCTGGAATTGGTCTGTCTTGGGTATCTGCCAGCTTCGATGGGGGCCTCTCCCAGGCAGACAGGGATGTGGCAGCAGGTTTACTCCCGGCAAGCCATAGCGGACAAGCTGAGCTGTGTCAGGTGAATGTTTCCCCCTCACCATCCACAGAACCACTTGTGCTATTATAAGCCCAAGCATGTGCCAAAATGGTGACAGGACTGGGGCCTCAGCTCCCCTCAAACATTTTTATTTTGATGCAAGAGCAACCAGAAACAGGCAACCAGGACAACAGAAAGAAAAAGGAACAAATGCAGATAGCAGACCAAAACAGGAAAAAATGAAGAAAGCCTTTATTTGAATATCTGCTACTTGATTTCAAGCTTGCTCAGAAGCTTCCTCCATATCATCATCAGATGATACATGGAGTGTCCTTCTATCTCATGCCCTTTTTCACCAGAAGTTCTTTTTCATGTTTGAAGGCTAAATTTGTCTCTTGGATACAGATTCATTGCTCTCCCTGAAGGGAACAGACCTTAGCTCTGGATCCAAGAGTAACAGATGCCATCAGTGTGAGTCACCACAGCCACAAAGTTTGTCACAAGCAATCATAATGCTGATCTAAAAGTCTCCCCCAGTAGAGAGGAGAATACTAATAGCTAAAACTCCAATGGCAGTGTTTTCTAGAGCACTTCACAGCAGGAATTTGCCTCAGTAGGAAGTGTGGAGTTGGCCTCAGATACAAGAGAAGTCTAATTTAAAAGTCCTTTGTTAAATTTATATAGCAATGCTGCAGGGAACTGAATGATATTTCATCAGTTTAATTTATATTGATTTAAGGCAACTTTGATTTGCTCCCTGCCCTCCCTATCTTTCAACTTGCAGAGCAATCTGATGCTCTTGCATCCTATTGTCCAACATGGCACAGGGCAAGAATTGCTCACTTACAGTGACTAAAAACCCACCACCTTTTGAGGTCATCACTTATGGATCAGTTTAGTGTTTAATGAGTCTCTGAAGACTACTGGGCCCGAAGAAAAACAGACAGAACTGGAACTGGTACCAGGCAAAGTGCAAGGAGAGGAATATAATAACAGTAGAAAGAAGCAGCTGGAGCAGAGAGGAAGACAGTGCCAGAGAATGAGGGGGACGGTGTATGGTTTCTTACTTTTAACTGGTCCTCTGGGAGGTGTCGCAATTGAATCCCTCTCTCTGGCTGTGTCTCCTTCTCTAGCTTCCTTTTTTGGTTCCTCTCCATCCAAACATCATCGAAGCTGAAGCACCTATAGAGAGGTTTAGGTCTTTTCCTCCTCCTCTCTCGAATCTCCTTGGTCTTTTCATCTGGAGCAAGGAAGGAAAGCCTCCAGGCTTTGCTCTCAAGGGCGGAGATAGGACATGGGGATGGTGGAACCTGGGGAGGCTTCCTTTTGCGATGGGGAACCCATTTCTCACTTGGCCTCTTTTCAGGTGGTGTTTGGCATTGATGCTTAGACTCCTGTTTTACAAACTGCAGGTGAAAACACAGGGTTTGTTGGCTGGAAGTTGTGTTTGCTTCAAACCAGTTTGAACAGAAGATGGCAAAGCTCAGTTATCTAGCCCAAGAACTATTCAGAAGAAAATGCTTTCCCAAGAGTACTGGCTGCCTGAAACCAGCCTTCTCCATAGGCTTAGGGGTACTCCACCCTGAAGCAGCAGCTTTGCTATCCTTTGAGAATGTAACATACACTCCCTCTGCACAGGACAATGCCCTTTTCACTCATATTCTAAATGGCATATTAGAGTAACATTACTACTGGGATTTAGGTCACTCTGTATATTATTATTTACAAAAACAGACAGTGTCTCTGAAAATAGAATAATGACCTGTCTTGTCTGTCTCTGCTCTTCCAGCTGTACTTCAGTTGTACAGTGTGAAAAGGCTTCCTCGATGCCTGCAGGTCTGATATTAAGCCCTGTGCTTCCTGATGTGCTCTTTACGCTATCCATTTTATTTGCTTGATATTGGGCCGAGAGCAAGGAACTGCACAGCTTTGCCCTTCACTCTCATTTGCTTTTAATGAGTGGTTACACAAAATTACAGCTTTTGTACTGGAACAACTTCAAATCAGGTGTGCCCTGAGGCAGCTAACTACTACTCCAGGTAACATCAGTGTTAGAATCAATAATATTTAAGGTGAGAGATAACAACACTGAGGAATGTATGATCTCAGGAGTCTCTTTTCATGCCAAGAAAATGTTGTGTCCTGACAATATTATCTCTCCAGTTTCTCACAGTTCTTTTGAAGAACCCAAACACAACAACCCTTAAACCACTGCAGGCGCATCCTATCTCCTCTCAATTAACCAAGAATCCCAGGTCAAATCTTCCCTGCCACTGGTAAGAGATTCCACAGTCTAGCAACACTAGATGCTATGAAAACATAAGTGTCTCCTGCTGGTATTCTGTGCCAAACCCCATCATATTGGAGTGGAGCAAGGAGGAGAACATGCACAGATTCCAAACATGGGACATATTAGGACAGTTCACTCTTGTCTGCTGGGTAACACAACTATGTAAGTAAAATCATGCCACAAACAGATTAATTAAACATGTAATTAAGGCCCTAACACATGGACAAACTGGTAATTGTTATGTCATGCTGTTTTCAGCATAAAATCTTTGTCCTGGATGTAATTTGGAGAATGTTAACCATTAGCAGGTAATGAGAGAGGGGCTGGTCTGTGCTCCACCAGGCTAAGAAAGGTTACTCACCTATGTGGTAGCCAGAGGCATCAGGGGCAAGCTGATCCAGTGCAGTTTGGTACAGCACTATAACACAGATAAAGCTGATACCACTGGAAAAATACCTGGCTGGGGGCTTGGGGAAAAATACACATATCCCCATAGTGGAGGGCACACTGGGAAGTGAGCTCAAGGAACTTCACAATTATGCATTTGTTTTGCAATAATGTCTTTACTGATGTGGAACAGAAAATTACTTGTCATCAAATCCAGCATTAAACTTAATTTTATGGCCTTCTCACTTAGCAACATACATAAGGAAGACCATGCTTAGTGTTTAAATTATAATTATGTTGGAAAGATTTAACACTGCAAATATACTTTGCCCAATGTCTCTGTTGCATTTGCAGAAATTCCTGAAAAAACAACTTCACTTACAAAATCCAGGGTACAGTTCTACTTCATTTCACAATGTCATAAAAATATAAATAAATAAAAGCTATATCTGCTTTAATAAATTAGATGTTGTGTCCTGAAAACTGGGACATTTATACTAATTTCTAGACTACAGTTGCATTTATCCAATTTCAGGTATCATATTCTTCAGCCTTCAGAAGAATCAGGAAAAATAAACTGGTTTTATATGGCTTAGATATCATTTAAATTTTTCACGGTTTTCTTTAAATTATTTAATCTAGCAATCAATTTAAGTAATTATTTATTTGCTCCTAGTGGTTACATTATAGGATGTGGGCCTGCCTGTTCAAGGCTTTACACATGCCTATCTCTCCAATCTTTTCTAGCTGCTCTTTTGGGTTATCATTTACAGGTCAATGATTTTATTCATCCTCTGAGAGGCTTCATCTGTTGACAGTGTGTATAGTCCAAGTATCTTGCATTTTCCTAGGCTGGTGTAACACTGAAGTCTCTTGTTTAGAATCTGGTGTCCAGTATTAAGTTTGTAAGTTAAGTTGATGCCCATGAAAACAAAAGATTTTGAGTAAAGCATGAGCACAGAAGAGAATAAAGCAAATTTTCTTCCCCTTCTGCCCACAGCAATTCCAGTACTACAGCTCTCACTTCTCAAACTGCCACCCAGATGGTTCTTTACATTCCAGACAGCATTAGTTAAAAAAAACAAACCAATCAACCAAAAAACTTTAATTGGGAATATGTGAGGAGGGGTTGAGGGAACTGGGTTTATTCAAGCTGATGAGAGGGCACTAAAGGCAATATAAGAGCAGTCTGCAACCATTTTGTAGTTTCCTGGATGATGGATTCAAACTCTTCTCAGTAGTGCCAGACAATGCCACAAGACAAGGGCCAGAAATTATAGCTTGGAAAGTTCTGGTTGGGCATTAGGAAAAAAATTTTCCTTAGGAACATGCTTCCCAGACAGGTGGTAAAATCTCCAGCAATGGAGGTTTTCAAGACTTCGTTAGACAAAGTCATGATCTTGTCTATCTGGTGTTGCCAGTAGTCCTGTCTGAAGAAGGAGATAGGATTACATGACCTCCCAAGGTCTCTTCCAACAAAGCTTTTTTTGTTTCTATAAAAAAAGTAGGGAGTTTCTATTTTAAAAAAATAAGGAGAAAGGGTAGGCTAACACCATTTTGGAGGGTATCTCAAAATATAACCTGAGATATGAGAGACAGCAGCAGCAGCAGCAGCAGCAGCAGCAGCAGCAGCTGTGCAAGGGCTCATTTGAGTTGAACACAACCAGCCCTCAGCTGCAGAATTGATCAAGCAGTTCCAGACTCATGAACTCTCTGAAAAATGTGTGCTTAGGGTATGCAGAATCTCATACCCTCTCACAAGCGCCACTTTTGAAAATCTGCACAACAAGATTATTTTTCCCATTTCTTAATGTCAAAACTCATCATCAGCAATACTGAAAAAGTAGCATGATCAAGTCATGTTCTGGGATCTCAGCTAACAGATTAATCTCAATCACTCTTGTGTTTGTGCTTAGCCACTGAAAGAGATTCCTAAACTCCCAGACACTTACAACTTGGGAAATCCTCTCTGGGATTAAAAGCCTACTGCTTTTAAAGGCCTCATCCAGTCAAGAAATCCCTACTGAAGATAAAATCTTTTCTGTGAGATACAGCCTATCACAAGGAGATTAATATTACCAGGAGTAGAATACAATGCAACATCAAAAGGACACCCTGAGTCCATTTTTTTTTTTTTTTTTTTCCTGTTTGCTGTAGAAAAGGACTCAGTGGCAAAGGGTAGTTATGGTGTCTGCAAAGGATTCATGGTACTTTGAAAAACACTCATTGTATGAAGAAAAAAAAATTACTTCTTAAAAAGTGATTGCTAGCAATGGGAAATGATTTCTATGTTGCCTTTCACTTTGAGAAACTTATTTACTATACACCAGTTACAAGGCACAATTCTGCCCTGTCTTAAGAGGGGTAAGACCCAGCTAAAAACTGGAGTTGAATACAAGGTAGTGTCTGTGTAGCCTGTCTGAGGCATATTATTCATGTTGTGATGACTCCATTCGTTTAGATTTCTGTGATAAATCCTCCCTTAAAGAGTGCATCAATTCATATAGTCTTGAACAGAAACAGAAGTAGTGCTACCCATCTTAGACAAAGAGGAATATTTATGCACCCATCTAGCCAATGTGTTCATTAAGCCATTAAAGAGTTTCACCGGAGTTTCTAAACCATATTGAAACAAAAGACTTTCCAAACCAAACCACCACCCAATCATTCCCAGACAACAACTCACCTCATCTCGGAGCATGTCACTAATGGAAGAAGCTGTGTTTAAGCTGATCTGGGATTGACTGCTTATGCCACTGTCATCCCTCTGGTGTTCATTGTCCAATGAGTGTACTGAAAGTAAGAGACTACCTCTGGGTTTCAGTGTCTTTGGTCTCTCAGGAGCCTCCAAATTGCTTTCAACTGCAGAGCTGTGCCCAAGAGAGATCATTGAAGTGGCACATATTCTTCCAGGATAACGGAAACTCTTGTGTTGAGAAGTGGATCGTGGACTCTGTGGTTTAGGACTCATGGGCCTACAAGGCATGTCTTTACCATCAGAATTTGAGAGCTGGGGACATGATGGACTTGACTGACTAAATGGCAACTGCAAGTCAGTGGGGCTAAATGGAGATTTCACCCGGTATTCCTCTAGAGAAGTATTTAAACTGTTGCCCAGAACCTCCTGTTGTTCATCACAGTCTGAACTCTGCAAGTATCTGATGCCCATGTCCTGGGACTGTATTCGTTTTCTCCACATACCTGCAGGTGAAGAGACATCAACAGGCTCCACCAAGGTATCAAAATAGTTGGTGTCTGCTGAGGAGCTGTTAGCTGTTTCTGTTTTAAAAAATGTGTGTCCACTGGAACTATCCTGTCGCTCTACTGATGTTCTCGTTACATGGCCACTAGTTGCATTAAGACTCTCCTGTGTTGGTGATAAACTTGCTAAGACTGGCCTTTTTAGTCCATCTGCCTCCTTGCTTTTTAGAAAAGCTTTCCAGGTGCTCTGGCGAATTTTGGCTTTCTCTTTTTCATTTTTCAGTGATACTCTTGAGCTTTGCTCGGTATTTTCCTTTTCTGGAGATCTGTATTCAAATAAGCTTGAGAGGGATTTGTGTGCCAAAGCCAACCTTGTCCTGAACTTCTTACCCTCAGGGTTTTTGTTTCTTTTGTATTCATTTTCAGGGAATGATTTTCTAATCCCAGAGTATTCCACAGGTTCACTGTCATTATTTTCAGATGAACCTGAAACTTGCCGATCTGCATATTTGACAGCAGACAGTGTGGGAGAAGTTGAATTTGTGTCTGTATCTTCCATCAGTATCCGACCAGAGCCAGAAGCCTTCCTCAGGCTCATTCTGTTGAATAATCCTGCAGGTCTCTCATAGAATAAATCATCGTCGTCAGAGTATTCAGAGGTATAGCTTTCCTTCCTATGGAAGGCTGAACCAGATGAACAACTTTTGAAAGACTGTAAACTTTCAGTGTCCTCATCCTCTTTCCCAGCATCCAGTTCTTCCATCTTTGCCTTGCTGCCAAAGAAGCTGTTACTTCCCTGATTTTCTGCTGTGGCAGGCTTAGTTTTCCTGAAAGATGTCATTTTTGAGAATACTAAAAACCTGGAAGCTTTCCCACTATTCCCATTCTTTGTTGGCTTTTGTACAGCTTTATAGAGACTGCTGTTACTTCCCAGCATGTGGAATGAGTTCTCATCCAGTTCCTCGCTGTTAGTGCTGCAGGTACTTATATTATCTAGGCCCAGCATGCAAGCATTATGGGTCTCCCTTTTCACAGAATAGTTAAAGACATCAGACACATCTAGATTCAGTGTACTGTCTTTGTTAGGGCTAGCTGTGTCTTCTGCAGGAGAGCCCTCCCTTCCCTCACTAGGAGAAGGTTCTTCACAAATACCTAGTTGTTCCTTTGAACCATTACAGCCTTCACTTCCTTGCCTACCTGCTGCTTGTTCAGAGATGATGCTAGGCCCTTGAAGGTCAACATCAGCACCATCTTCTTGACACAAATTGCTTACACTGCATATTTCCAGTGTTACTGCACTAGTTATATATAAACCTTCCTCTCTGCCTTGGTGTGCTTTGAATTCCTCTTCCTTAGACACCTGGTCATCTCTTGTTTCAGCCCATGACTTTCTGAACTGTTCTGTCTGTAATTCAAAACCAGTCTTTGTTCTGCAGGGCTCTTTCTTCAAGATCGTAACACCACTTCTGCTATGTGATTTTAAGAGCACTTCTTCAGACTGATCTGCCTGACTTTCTGCAGTATCATTGCCCAATGGTACAGTAACACTCTTGGTTTCCTCTTTTGCACTTGTTACCATGGAATTACTACAGGTGAACCCTAAGGATGAAACTGCATCTGTTTTCTCTATTTTCTCTTGAGAAAATTCCAGTTTTTCTTCAGCTGTATCCCTACCAGGGAGTACCTCTGCACTACCAGGAATGAGGTAGGTGGCTGGAATTTGTTCTTCACGGCTACAGCTTTCACTCAGAACTTTCTCTGACTCATCATGAACTTTGCAGACAGTATGAGGAGACATCAAATCCTTGCTCACTACATCTGTCAGTGTTCCACTTACCACTTCAGTAGGAAGGTTATAATTCAGTGTCTTGGACTGTAGTCCTTTCTGCTCTACAGAAACTATAATTAGGGCAGGCTTTAACTCTGGAAGAGTCATTAAATGACTTCTCTGGCTTATATAATCTGATCTGGGAGTGATTTCAACAGCAAAGACACTGTCTTCATCCTTTCCTTTATGAGTGGGATGTTCATTTGTTACTAGCTCAGAGTGACTCCTTAAGGCACCAGTTTTGCTCCTTGTATTTTGCTGCACTGACTCTGCGTGCTCTGCCCCAGTGTTACTGTCACCTGGCTGCAATGTGGTTTCCAGGACTTTCCAACTGAAGTCAAGATTAGAAGAATCATCTACACATCTCTCCCCTACTACAATCTCCATACCTGACAGTTCAGATTCAATGCCATTCTCCTTCAAATTTCTTTGCTGTATTTTACCAGTGGAAACACAGTTTACAGAACAATCACAGTCTCGATTTTCCACAACAGCAGGAAAACCTACGTGACAAGCTGCTAGGTTCTGTGTGTCAGCAATGCCAGATTCAACATCAATATCACAAGGAAATCTGTCTGCTTCCAGATCTCTTTCAGCTTTGTACTGGTCACTTTTTATAAGTTCTTCAGTATTTATGATCACTGGCTCACAGTCCAGGGCAGATGAAGTCTCTTTTTGTTTCAGATTACACTCATAGGCATCAATGTGTGTAGAAGATAAGCTATCAGCACATGTACCTACTGCTTCTGGGCTAAGGCCACACGTCTCTGATTCAGAGTGCAAATAATAATCAACACACGGGGAGGAGCCTGATGGTTGAGAAAGTTGACACCATTTTGAGTCTATGTCAGTATTAAGAAGAGATTTTCCTTCTATTTTTATTGTCTTTTCAGGGCTTACAGGTACCCTTCCTAAGTTTTTCCAAGTGTATTCAAAATCCAGCCCTTGAAGATGTATTCTGGAACATGACCATCTAAATTTGTCTGCCAGATGAATACAGTTCCCCGCATATTCTGTCTTGCTTTGAACACTGATATTTTCAGGTACACTGTGCCATGTTTTACTTTCTGTAATCTCTGACCTTGTGAGTGATGGCTGAAATTTTGGTCTGAAGCAACTCTGGTAAAAGAATGAATCTGATGTCAACATGGTCTCCGTACTTCCATGTTTTATCCTTTTACCTGTAGTTTCCTCACTGTCAACTGAGTTCCTCCTGCTGCATTTTATACTGGACATAGAATCTAATTCACACTTACAGTCAGATGTCTCAGTGTAACTTTTACGGTTAGGTCCATTTGTTTCAAAAAGAAGATCAGGTAAACTACAGCTTGATGCTGCATCTGACTGGAAGGAAAATTCCTGTACCTCAGGAAAAATCAAGCAACTTTCTGAGTTTGCTTTGAAACAAGCAATGCTTAATACTGCAGGATGTTCCTTCTGTCTTGTAACATCATCTTCTGTAGGTACTGAGTTACTACAGGACTGCACTTCACTGCTTTCAAACTCTACTTTATTTTGCAATACTGCTACAAGCTTTTTATTTGTCTGTGATATAATGCCTTCTTCACTGACTTGGTTGTCTGTATTGGAAATATCACTAGTTAGTGTTAGTTCTTCATCACCCAGTTCTTCACCTTCTGACCTCACAGATTGTATGCACAATTTGATTTTGCTTGGTGCTGCTTTTATTTTGGAGGACACTTCTAACTGAACGTGCTGGGTAAATTCTGATTGCTTTGAGCACTGAAGTTCATGGAGGGCTGTTTCTGCCTTTGCTTTAGGAAGACTACAGAACAGATTTTTTTTTTCCGTAAAAAGGCAGTTTGAATCCAAACAAGTTTCCCCAGTTACATCACTGGAAATAGATTCTGTGTCTGATGCACTCTCATAAGGCTCAGTTTTTACATCTGACAAAGATCCACTCTGGTGTGACAGGGTCTCAAAATAATCTTCATCTGTTTCTTGGCTGGATCCATGTATCTCTAGCTCTATTGTGCTCGGAGTAGAAGAACTCAGATCATCTTCAAACTCTCCTTCACTGATGTAGTTTTCAACTGGCTCTGGGGTCTATGAGTAAACAGAAAAAAATGATTTAGCAAAGATTTCCCACAGCAGCAGGGTAGCATGAATTATTATCAGAAAAGGAAATTAGGAACACAATTAATTTAATATACACTAATGTCTTTGGAAGTTATACTTGGTATTTTACTTATTGATGGACTTGAGGTCTTCCTATTTCTTACTTTTTGTGTCTTAATGTTTTTTAATTAATATTTTTTAAATTTTAATATGTAATTATGCAGAGGCCAAAATGTAACTTTTGGCCATGTCTTTCACAGCCCAGACGTGTTTGACATTCAAATAAGTCAAATAGAAATCATCCCTTGACAGTAGATCTGAAAACTCTAGTGAGCCCATCTTCAAATCTGAGGAAGAGGTTTATGTGATAAACCTCAGAAGTAATTGTTACTGTTCAAATTACAGAAATGTGATATGAATATATGCAGAACAGTTTCGCACTTGAATAACTGGACACTACCCATACCAAAGCCTGAACCAAAGGGGAAATAAGTCTTTGATCTAATTTTCCAGAAGGCTTATACCAGGAGTACTACATATATCACTTATCAGAACACATCCAAATCAGTGGCTGAGAGCAGAAAGATCAAAACCACACTGTCAATATTAGGAAATGTCTTTGTTCCAGACAGCTACCCTGCCTGGGAGAGTATCAGTCTTCTTTTCTTTAACCATCAGAAAGAAGTCTGGATATTTCTTGAGTTTAAAGTAGAAAATGAAGTCACAGCAAGCTTTCCAGAGGTAAAAATAGTACTCACCATCTGTCAGCATCAGGTACAGCTATTGTCAGAAATTCTACAAATGTACCCAAGAAAGATATTTAGCTGATTCCAGCCTCAGTCCATTAATATATAGAATGAGAAGCTATATAAATATAAATGGCAGCCTTTAACCCTAATGCTGGATGCCTCTTTAACTAGGTTTTGATAACAGCCATCACAAGAATGATCAGCACATTTCAAAATCTAAAAACTGAGATAATAAACAATGAAAGACATTTCTAAAAAAAAGCAAACCACAAATGCATGGCAGCCATCAAATTAGAACACAAAGTCCCTTGGCCTGAGTTGCATGTCACCTTCATCAGGATGCTTTGTCACAGAGGAAGTGTGAGTCCTCATACAGGAAGCCAAATTCCAAATCACATCAAAGGATATGTCACAGAGTTTCTGATTCTAGACTCCAAAACATAGGGGGTAAATTGGAAAAAGGAAGGCACTAGGGTTATTTCCAAAAGGGAGTCTCAATAAGAAGATTGGTATTTTGTCTTGACAAAAGGAAAATACAAATTGAATGGAGGAGGGAGGAGGAGGATTCAGTGCTTCAAACCAAGTCCAAAAATCACTTTCACACCATTAAAACTGACCAAATTGCACTAAAATGACAACATAAGTCATGTAACCAGCAGAGCAATGTGTCCTTTACTGTGTGCAATCAGTGATACATGTAATTGAGGTCCTTCAATAATGTCAAATCCCACTATCACCAGGACAGAAATGGCCAGCATTAAAGCAGCACAGACTAGCATTTCACATAATGATCAAGCAGCATAAACCGTGAGCAGTTGGCTCACAGCAGTGAGTAGAGCAGCAGCTGTTCAGCAGTAACAGCATTGCCTCTTCAACAGTGTTCTGAACACAAATTTACAGATGGTAATAAACTAAGATAAAAACTGTTCAAGCAAGTAGGAACAAAGTAATGAAGATGCCCAACTGTCCCCAAGGATAATTATGAATTAAATTACAAAAAACTTGGAGCAGAGATCTCCTACAGTCCAGCTATCATTCCAAACAGCTACGCCAGGATATTTATACTGTGGCCCCTCCTAAATTAATTATTTATTTTTAATGGGTATTATACAAAATTATGCAATTAAAGCAGAAGCACAGACCCCACAATTGCCTCCATACCTTGTGGGAAATGGGAAAACAAACTCTAGGCATGAAGGGCACCAATTAATGTCAACCACCATTCCTGGACTGGGGCCAGGACTGAACACGTGTCCCCAGTGCTGCTAAGGGGAAGAGCTGGTGTTGGGATCAGCCTGGTGGGGTCTACTCTGCCCAGGTACCCTGGGATGGAGTTCCCGGAGGAGGGAGAGGACATAGCAGCTTCAGTCCCTGCTGTGTCTATCAAAGCCCTCTACTAGCGGACAGGGGAGGCCTAGAGCTGACCTCCAGCAAACCTGAAATTCATAAGCTCACTGGACTTCCCGTGGCGACTGGGGAAGAAGTCCTAACAGGACGAACAACATGCAGATCGTGCCATTTTTACTTCCTGGTTCTATGGGTCTTTGAATTCTCAGTGCCTCCGGGAGGCCAGGCCTTTGCTCTGACCACCTGTCATATGTAGTTTAATTTCCTCCCAAGCCATGGTGTTTTGTTAGGATTTGTGGGACTACCTCTCTTTCCGTTTTACTGTTTTTTTTCTGTAAAAATTGAGTCTAAAGGACTCAGTTGAAGAAGAAGGGGCTAAGTTTACAGTGGGCAGATCCTTTGATGTAGCCCTGTCTTCCCAAAACAGTCAATCACATGCTTGAGAACTGAGTAGAGATGTGGCAGTGATCCTCAGCGAGGCTGCTCATTAGACAACAGTCCTTATGTCTTTAATTTCCATGAGATTACACTGAGAATTTCAAGTCAAATTATGGCTCCTTCCTGGGAAGGGTTCCTGAGAAAACCCCCAGCAGCCATGGACAGAGTTGTGTGTTTATACATCTCTTCAACCTCAAAGAAGATAAACAGTTGGAAGACAAGAGCCTGGAATAAATAGGAAAGAAACTACTTCTGAAATAAAGGCTTTTGTACTTCACAGACAATAGACAAATCAAAGCAAAGCTCCCCTTCCCTGCTTTTCTCTTGCATCTCTTTTCACTGTCTCTAAAATGTGCCAAGAAAATAGGATGAAATTGAAGTTACTGATCTGTCTTGCTATCATTGGATGCAGCCATATGTAATCATGTCAACCTAAAGTCACAGAAAAATAAAACTTGTGACTTCGATGTGTGAAGACCTCTACCTCCATAACATAAGACACCTTCCATCCAAATCACCCTCTAACTGAGGACTGACAATGCTCATACGTGACTGCTCTCATGGGCCCAGCCACTCCTGTCTTGTGAAAATTTTTTATTTGCTGGGGAAATCATGTATAATTTTTTTTCTAGATGAGATTCTGTATTTGCTTAATTTTCTCACATTTACAATATTATATTGCAACAATTGTAAGCTTCTTGGGTATTGTATTTCCCTAATTTTCTCTGCCTAACAATTGGTAGGATAGGTTAAATATACAATTGTATTACTTCAAGTAGTCTTTTAATGAATTATTTTATTCTTAAATCTCACAACCGTAAAAAAGAATCTGACTACTTATATGGTCTTTCCTTTTACTTTTGTTTTTGTTTAATCCTGCAGGCAGCTAAACACCACGCAGCAATTTGCTCACTCTCCCACAGTGGGATGGGGAAAAGAATCGGGAAAAAGGATAAAACTTGTAGGTTGAGATAAAGACTATTTAATAGGACAGAAAAGGAAGAGAAAAAATAATAATGATAAAAGAATATACAGAAGAAGTGATGCACAATGCAATTGCTCATCACCTGCTGACTGATGCCCAGCCAGTCCCCAAACAGCTGGCCATGACCTCCCAGTCAACTCCCCCTAGTTTTATTTTTCAGCAGGATGTCATATGGTCTGAAATATCCCTTCGCCAGTTGGGGTCAGCTGACTCAGCTGTGTCCCCTCCCAGCTTCTTGTGCACCCCCAGCCTACTCGCTGGTAGGGCAGGGCAGGGCACTGCTCAGCAACAACTAAAACACCAGCGTGTTATCAACATTATTCTCATCCTAAATCCAAAACACAGCACTGTATCAGCTACAAGGAAGAAAATTAACTCTATCCCAGCTGAAACCAGGACAAGTTTGAATGCAAGTTCTCTAAGCAAGCCTGACCTGTATTCCTTACTAACTTGCACCTGACCCTAGTTATTACCTCATTGTCAGCTCAAGGAATATCGGCACAGTTTTTCCCTGAACTCAAGACAACGTGAAGGCATTTTCAGTTGATATTTCAAAGGATTCAGACAACAGTTTTCTCCATAGGTGATGGTAACAACAATTTTTGAGTTATTAATATATATATTTCATAAATCTCCATTTACACCTTGTTTGACTGAAAGACACAGGCCAGTGTCTTTGACTTGCAATGTGATGAGACTAAAATGCAGTTTCCATTAACACAGGTGAGAGCAAGTCAGCTGTCCTCCCTGCTCAGTGGGCCTCAACGCTGCTCATTACATAAAGGAAATGTGCAACTCCCAGGGTAGGCATGAAGGCAACATCTACAAAAGGTCTCATCCTGCAGAGTGCTGTATGCTCTCAACTCCTGCTGATGTAAGTATAGGTGAGCTCAGGGCACTCAGGATTCAGCTGTGCCTACTTCAGTGCTCTCTGCTGGGATCATGTACATGCTCTCTCTCCATTACCGTCTTTGAGAAGGGCAACACTAATACAGTCACTTAAAAAGGGGGAGCAGAGAGAGAAAGATAGACAAAACGAGTGGTTGAAACTGGCCACTTTACTGGCAATATAGGATTGTTAATACAGCTGCTTCAGAATTCAGCTGTAATGTCATCTAGGGTGCCGTGATTTGAGCCCAAAGGGCAACTGCTCGCTCACTGCTTCCCCCTCAGGAATGGGGAGGAGAAAATAAAACAAAAGGCTCTGGGATTGAGACAAGGACAGGGAGGGATGACTCACCAGCTGTGGTCACAGGCTAAAGACAGACTCAACTGGGGAGGAAAAAGAACACCAAAATTTGAAATTTGAACACCACCACCACCACTTAATTTATCAATCAGAGTAGGACAGTGAAAAATGCAACCACATCTTAAAAATACCTTCCTCCCACCCCTCTCTTCTTCCTGGGCTCAGCTTTTCTCCCAATTTCTCTCCCTCCTCCCCCTCAGAGGCACAGGGGAACAGTGAA